GGCGGTCTTAAAAGGTACCTGGGGAGCCACTGCCCGTGCCCTGTGACAGGGACAGGCGGCCAGAGTATCACAGAATGGGGACCCTCTCACCCTGCTGGCGACCATGTGAGCGACAGAGGCTTAAGGAAGCAATCTGGAACACTCACCACCAGCCATAAAAATGGTCTTGCTTTTTGTTTGTTTGCTTTGCAACTTTATGTTTGGGAACACAGTCTAAAAACACCACTCAGAAGTAGAAAAACTCCCCTTCGCAAAGCTAAAAACGTTCCTGAGAGCATTTCCGATGACAGAAAAGTCACAAATACCCTAAATACCCACGGACAGAGAAGAGGCCGGTCATGGCAGGTCCACAGGATAAAGCATCAGCATGAAAGTGACACAGCTGTATAAAGGCCGTTAAGGAAATGGACCACGTTTGTACGACTGTAACTACTCAAGAAAAAAATGCAGAAGGAAACACGGAAATAACACGGAGTAGAACGTAAGAGATGGCAGGTTTTCTCTTCCTGGACTTTATACCACTGCCACGACGCTGGGAGGGGGAAATCCTAAACTCACCCTGTTTACATACGCAAACGTGTATGTTAAGTCACTTAGGTACAAATACAGAGGAAGTTTTTAGAACGCTTTCGCTTACGATATAAAAAGCAAAGTTCAGAGGTTTGCAGGATGAAGTCTGAGTATCTGAATTTTTCTGTAATAAGGCACACTGTTTCTGGCAATCATGGGAGACCTGGGGACATGGCGGCTGGGCCGCTGTGGTCCTAGGCTGGCGATGGGGAGGTTCCAAGTGGCCATGCCCTCCCCGGAGTCTCAGCCTGGCCTCACTGTCCCCAGCCTGTACTTCCAGCTGCCACGCCCCAAAGGGCTGTCTGGCTCCTGAGATGAAGTCTCACTGCCGTCCTGACACTGGTTGATGGTTCCCTGGGTAAAGCCACCATGGAAGACTGGCTTTTTTGATGAAAAGTTTACTTTCAATGTCTTTTTGGAGACTATTAATTACCCTTTAAAACTGGCTTCCTCCCCTCAGAGAACATTTTCACAAAGGAAACAACCTGAAGTTTACATGAAAGTGACACCTGCTTGTCCAGCCTTCTTGCTGTGACAAAGATGCAAATGCTCCCTCTGCGAGGTTTGTGGTTTCCCCTGTGACCCAAAATTAGGTAAGTCTCTGGTCAACACATTCAGTTCCGCTCACCAACATTCTTCACTGAGCAGTTCCAGGTTTTCAAAAGCGTGAGGCCGAGCAGCACCGCGGCAGCCGCCGGGCTTCCGATTAGCTGGGCCCTCGGCACAGAATCCAGGGGAGAGGGGAAGGCCAGACAGACACCCTGGGAAATGACACCAAGCAGCTGCAGAAAAGAGCCCTGGAACTGCCCACGAGCAGACAGCCGTCACGCCACCGAGCGCCCACCTGCTACAACGCGGCCGCCTTGGTCAAGTGATGCCACTGAAATCACAGCGAAAGACTTCAGACGCTCTTAGGATTTCACTGGGACTGTACAGCACAGAACACTGGGCATCTTCCCTGCTAAGCTCAGCTCGGCCTCTGCAGGCCTGAGCTCAGCGCGAATCCGCACGTGCCAAGCATGATGGGCCCACGATCGTGGTGATTTCTAACAAAGTCAAGGCTCCCGGCGTCCCCTGGGGAAGGGGACGGTTATCAACTTTCCTTAGTAACACTCTACACATAGCCACGTCTTTAAAAAGTACTTTCTGTATCATCCTTAGAGAAGGGAGGGACACCCAGAGTATCAAGGGCACTGAATGACACCATCAGCAAAGCCAGCCTGGGCCGCAGGCACTGAGGGAGGAGAAGAAAAGCAAAGGTCTGCACTAGGGGCGCAGCTGGTGGGAGCGAGGATGAGCGGCAGGTGGAGGCCGAGGTCCTCGGGGAGGAAGGGCCGTGCCGGCCTGGCCTGGACGCTTGGGGAGGCCTGGCCCTGACCCCAGGTGGCCACGAGTCCATCCCTGGTGCTGAGGAGTTCGTGTGAATTGTATTACACGTGAGGAGGCTTAGAGGTTACGTTAAAAAGTAGTAAGTGCTTATCAGTGAGATGCACTCTGAAATATTTACAAAGGACACTCCCTGGGGACGGACTCCGCAGCCAAACAAGGGGGAGGCACGGAAGACAAAATGAGAAAACACCTCGGACATCTCTGCTGAAGCTGAGGGACAGGCACCGGGGACCACCCTCCCTGTACCCCACCCACTCACCACTCTTCAGACCCTTCTCTCTGCCTCTGGGCATGTTTGAACATTTCCATAATAAAAAAGGTTGTAAAAGTTAATCTTTTCTCACTTACGTAAAGTACTTAGAGTGTCAAATAGAGACAGAAAATCAAGCGGGGGTGGCCAGGCGCTGGGGACGGGGCTGGGGTGTTTGGGTTTAATGGGGACACGGTTTTGGTTTGGGAAGGAAGAAAACTTCTATGGCTGGATGGTGGGGATGGTCGCACAACATTATGAATGTACGTAATACCACTGAATTGTACACTTAAAGATACGAGGGTAAATTTTACAGTGTGTGTTTTTTAACCACAATTTAAACTGAGAAGAAAAGTGAATCTCTGCTTACACTATCCGAATTCCAAAAGAGGAAAAAAGTGGCTTTAAGACAGAAGTCTTCCTTTCTCACCTGAAGGGGCCTCTGCTCTTACCCCAAACACACGGGCAGGAAGAGAGGAGGGGGCTTCTGTGTACTCACGGGGGGCTCCTCGTTCAGGGTCTGCAGCATCCAGTTTTCCAGTGTCTGGAAGTCCCGGGGACCCTGGTACTTCACAGCTTCTTGGCCAGGCTTGAAAAACTTCAAGCTGAAGAGGAACAAAGGATTAGACAGGGCGGATTTTAAAGCACTTCAGACCAGAGGCAAAGGTTGACAGAAACAAAGATGTTGGGTGGGCGGCAGCCAGCACGTCCCGGCCACTCTCTGACAAAACCTCGGAAAGAAAGGAAAGAAATGTTCTAGGAGATAACACGTTCACCTAATCCTAAACTTCTAAGTTTCTTATGTTATTCAAGAGAAACAGACGCCCGGCCCTGAGGCCGTGAGTTCACGCCCAGGCTTCCCCGGCTTCTCCGGGCCCGGGTCTGCTACCCTCCCCCGGCTTCAGTAGTTTTTAGGCTCTGCAATTAAAAAAAAACAAACAGAACTGTTAACTGCAGTAAATGTATCTCCAGGCTACCTTATGGGCCATTCAACTCTTGCAAAGCACAAATATCCATGTGTTGTCAGAGTTCAAGTTTCCAACTCTCATAAGAACAACCTTGACACTGGCTACTATGCTCCATTCACTTTTGCCCTTTGTTTTTCCCATGCACATTCGCCTCTGAAGGTGTCTGCAATAGAGCACGGAGCACTGCCTTTTGAGGCGAGCAAGAGACATCACCAGAGGCAGAAATGAACACTTTGGACCCTGTGTGAGTCATTCCACAGGTGATGGGAAAACCTGCCCTTGATAAAACTTAATAGAAGGTGTCAAGGATGGAGGGGGACGTATGGCTGCCGACTAAACAGAAAGAAACCCAGCCTCGCATCTGGGGCAGGCGTACTCGTCTGCAACACTCCCCGCTCCCACCGCCCCACTCCTCAGCACGCAGGTGGATTCTGTTCGGAGATGCCCAAGGTGCAGCATCACCCTGGGAAGTCAAGATCCGTGGAAGCCAGAACCATGGGTTTGAACAGCTAACCCCACAAAGGTCTTAAGATGAAGTTTCACATGAGACGAGGAAACCAGCACGTGGCCTGTAGGAGGCGCTGGGATGAAAACGGGCTTATGGGCCTGACCCAGAAGCGAAGTCCTTGGATGGGCGAGATTCCGCCCCTAACGTGCTTCCTGTGAGGGGTCCACGGCCACCTGCGTGGCAGCTTCTACACTTGTCACCGTGACAGAAAGCCACAGTCCGACTCGACTCGGCCAGTGTGCCTGTTCTTTCACGGTGTCACGTTTTAAGCCACTCCCAAGCACGCGCGCACAACTGTGAACCCACACCCACCACCCTGACAGCTCTGGAAGCATGTGCTGTGCCCACGCCTGAGATTCCTGCTCAGTTCCCAGAGCCCAGGGCAAGAACAGGTGCCCTCACAGGAGCCTCCGGGTGCCTGGGGCCTCGGACGTCAGCGCTCACTGGAGACAGACGAAGGGGGCCGTGGGGAGTTGGCCTCGGAGTTCCAGCCCCGAGTACAGCCCCAAGCTGCCACGTGGGCACTTGCCTTCCTGGCGGTCTGTTTCTCTTTCAGGGAGACCGCAGGGCAGAAAATCCCCACTGATGGAAACCGGTGTGCTAAAAAGTTCCACAACTAGAGATGAGAGGGTGTTATGGGTTGAATGGTGTCCCCTAAAAAGATCTGCAGAAGTCCTAACTCACACTACCACGGAATGTGACTAACCTTGGTTAGAAACAGGAGTTTTATAGAAGCAACCAAGTTAAAATAAGGTCCTTAGGATGGATCCTAACCCAACATGACTGGTGTCTGTACAGAAGGCGGAAATTCAGACAGAGAGAGACACGCACAGAGGAGAAGGCCTTGCTAAGGAGCGGGACCGGGCCGATGCACCTACGAGGCAAGGAACACCAAAGGCAGCCCGCTAACCCTAATCCAGACCCCCAGGATCCAGGAACAGGCAAGGAAGGCCGTCCCGACAGGCTGCAGAGGGAGCCTGGCCCTGCTGACGCCTTGATTTGGGGCTTTTGGCCTCCAGAACTGTGAGAGGGCGACTTTCTGCGCTTTTCAGTGGCACTCACCGCCCCGGGAGCATCCTTCAGCCTGCCCCTGCCAGCATCTTCCCAGATGAGAAGGATTCTTCACCGGCTCAACAGCAAGACCTCAAGACAACTTCCAGAGTACAGGCGGACTTCCCTAAGGCCTGGGAACCCAAACTCCCTCCCTCTCCAAACCTTTACTCCAGTTCAAGGTGCCAGGGGAGGGGTGACATACAGGATAACGTGCTGACACCCCCACCCCACCCCCTCCGTGCTCAGCATTCACGTCATCATTGGATTTGGGCCTCAAAACATCTCCGTGAGATGGATACTGTTTCACAGGAAGTAAAAGGTCACACAGGGTAAATCTGTGAACGCCCTAAGGCCACTACACATTTTGCAGTGCCCTGCCTCCCGCATTCTGCGAAAAAATCTCTCTTCTTGGACTGTGATGGTCACGGAAGTGCCTTCCCAGATCACGTTCGGTGTAGTGGAAGCTCACTTTAGTTCTTTTTAACAACACAAAACCAGTGCATGGTTTTCTTGGGGAGATCATAGCTCCTAACTAAAAATCAGGACACCTGCTCCAACATGGAGTTTTTAGAACTTTGTAAATAGCACCTGTGCTGTGACTGATGCAGCCGGAGCTGCAAGACCAGGTCCGGGGAGCCCTCGACTCCCTCTCTGACGCCTCCTAGCACGTGCCTTCTCAGCCCTGTTACTGGTCCCGCTTCACCCTCCCTGTGGCGTGGTCTGTGGGGCACACAGCCACAGGGCCACACGCAGCCAGCTGATTAGCAGTGGACACCACGGCCAACCATCTCTTGCTCCTGCACTTTGAAAGTAACAGGCTCTCAGCGGTAACATCTGTCCCCTCACTGGTCCCGCTGCTCACTGACTGCTTCTTTGGGATGCTCTTCATCCAAGCAGAGCTCACTGTAAAAGCAGTGCAGTCAAGCACAGGCCAGTGATGCCGCCAGGTCGGTACAAACAGCAGGAAATTTTATCTCTACGGATCTGGTTTGATGTAGACTCGAATTCCACACTCAGGTTAGCAAGCAGTCACCAAAGACCAAGAGTTCCAGAGCCCTTTATGGCAACGTCAAATTTCCAAATGTCAGAGGAAACCTTAACGTTCCCTGGCTTCGCACACCCAGTATTTCATGCGACGCTGTTACTGGGGGGCGGGGGGGGTCAGCATCCTACTTCAGACCGAGGCTATGCAACGCGGCCAGAGCTGCATGGTACGTAAACGGTGGAGCTGGGATCCAAACCGCGTTGTCTAGGTTCCAGCCCAGACTGCCCCCGCCTTTGCCATATAGCACTTTTCCATGCCGCCCTCAGATCTGAGGATAAGCCCTGGCTTTATATAGAACTGACTTCATTCATCAATTTGAACAAGTATTTTGGGACCTGCAGAGCCCAATCCCTCCCACATCCTTCTGGAAAGGCATCTTCCCTCTTCTGGAGACACGCTCTTCACTCCAACACTTGCCACATGGTCTGAATGGGGCTGCCGTCTTCCCACGAGATCCCGCCTCTCTGGCCACAGGACTCTTCCTGGAATGAGCACTCCACGCAGGCTGGGCCCGTCAGCGGTGGGCCCGCCGCCGCCAAGGCAACAGAGATGCAGGGACGGGAAGTTAAGTCACCTTAAGGAGGAACACACACAAAAAAGTCCTCCCCACGCTGACAGCTGAGTCTCAGAGCTTCCCCCACCACCTTCAAAGTAACCCCCTTTTCTTCATTAAGCCAGTTTCAATTTCTGTTCTTAAAACCAAAACCCTATTTTAACTGTCAAAGAAGTAGGTAGCGTCGCTGGTCAGACTGCGGTTCTTTCTTTCCAACAGAAATAGCCCTTGTGCTAGTCATGCGGGGAATTACTCTAGAAAGGAGGCTTAAGAAGCAGAGTGACCAAAAATTCAGACCAAAATTCAGGACAAACTCTGTGCTCATAGTGTAAATGTACTTGTGAACATTGGATGTGACCGGATCTCACGGAGAATGCCATTTTTGTCTCGCAGACACACTCTTTTATAAACAAGAAAACCCAACTGATTAATTAAAGGCTTTTCTGAAAGAATACAAAGGCATCTAACACAGACATGGTACTCAGCGTGACCTTTCTCCTAGCCAGAAATCAGCATCTCCTTGCTCCTCAGAACTACAAGGGAATTGCCAGAAGTGTAACTTGGACTTTCTTTGGCCAGAGCAGCTGGCAAGAAGCCGAGGAAGATGAGGACTCACGTGGGGTACCCGCGCACGCCCTGGGCGGAGCACACGTCCGAGTCGGCCGTGCAGTCGACCTTGGCCACATAGACCTTGGCGTCCTCCATGCTGTTGTACTTGTCCCCCAGGTCATTCCAGGTCGGCTGCAGCCGTTGGCAGTGTCCACACCTGTAACACAGTGACAGTAACAAGCCTGCTGAGGACCAGGTGGAGGATGCTCTACCTACCTCCTTGGCCACCTCCCTAGGGCAGCGGGGATCTCTGATCCGACAGGACAGCAGAGGCGGACAGCTCACAGCCACTGCAGAACCTCGCTGCCCAGCTTAAACCCTCTGGAGAATCTCTGCATTGTTCTCAGCATGAAATCACAGCTCGGCAAAGGGCTGTACTGGATCCCCCTCGATCTGGCCCCTGCTGAGCTCCCATCTGACCTCTATTCCTGGCTGCCCTCCTTCCCTTATGGTCACCGCTGGGCCACACTGCAGCGTTTCCAGGTGCCCGAAAGGGCCACGGCATGGTCGGGCCCATGAATCAGCATTCCTCTCCTGACACATCCTCCCTAAACCCACCTGGCTGATTCCTATCTGCCCTGCAGGTTCAGTTTGGGTGTCACTTCCTCCAAGAAGTCCGCCCTGACTCCCAGGTTGTTTAGTGTCCACCCTCTCCTCCTCTTCTGGAAAGTTCCCTCGCTCTCCCCGGGGATGGAACCAGCTCAGCATTTCCTGCTGCCATCAGCCCTTTGTAGTCAGGTCTCCTGTCACAGAACTGAGACCCTCCAAATGCAAGGCAATCTCGAAAGGAAATCAGTTGTGTTCTCTCCAGGGAGAAGACTTAAAAAAAAAAGCTTGCGGCCACCCAAAACTTCTACATTGGATTTGCTCAAACGTATACTTATAATAGTCATTGTGAGAATTTAACTGTACACCAATATCTTAAAACCACCAGCATTTAAAGTAATAAGTTAACTTAGAATTGTTGCTTCTGCTCTTCACACTGCTTGACAGCACCATCCTCTTTCCCGTCGCTAAGCCTACTTTTTCAGTCGTATAGCTGGTCACCTTCAGTAACTGTCAGCTGTCCGCGGTGCCATTTTTGAATTTCATAGTCGCAACACTGCAGACTTTCTCTCACGCCTCGAGGGCAGTCACACAGCATCACCGCACGTGGCTTTGTTTTGTTCTTCCGGTCACCTAGTAAGCGTGCACTTGTGATGCTCACGATGTGATGACTTATTTGCTGTACTGCTTTTTAAGGTGTTGTAAACAACACCCCACACTTACAACTGAGTTCGTTCTTAAAGTAATTTCTCAGTAAAATCAGCGTGGAATCTCGCCTCACCGGGAAGCATGTAAAGGCGGCACGGGGAAAGCTGGCTTCAAGCTGACCTGTCTTCCCTAAGCAGCACTTAATCGAGCAGCGAAGGGAACCCTGCTTTCTCAGAGACTCAAATAAGATATGATTCCCTCTTTCCTGGAAGGTAACTGTGAGGGAAGACCTGCGTCCTGTGTAAGTATTTATGGTACAAGTGCCAAGAAGACGAGCTCTGTCCTTTCCACGACTCCGTCCCCATGTCTGGCACGTGGGTGACGTGCACCATCCGCCTGGCCATGTCTCAGTGGTGAATCCACGGGCACCACGCAGTCGGCACTTTTGGTTTGGGGCCCTTGGAGCCACAGCACAAACCCCTGAGACCGCCACTGCATTCAGAGGCTCTTCGTGGCCACATAACAGAGCAGAGCCACCTGGTCCTTTCAAGAAGGCAGCCCCAACCTTGACCTCACTGTCACCAAATTCAATGTGACCCGAAAACTGACCAGAGAGAAGCTGTGACCTGATGTTGGCACAAAATCTACAGCAGTAGGACAACCCTGCATCTGCCAAGTTCAGAGCAAAAGTACACAGACCAGTGTTTTCATGACGTGGGGCTCCTGTCCCCCAAAATCACGTGTGGGCTCCCAACATTTCCCAGAGACTGAAATGGAAACAGATGAGGGGTGGCCCGTGGCATGTTCTACCTGAGCTCCACTCTGCTCTTAAAGTCTAACTTTTAAATGTCATCATTGAACCTCTCACACCTCTATTTCATCATAGACTATTAAGAAGCAAGCAAAAAAAGCAGCAAACAAATAAAAACTTTAAAAGTTACTTTTTCTGGGAGCATCTGCCTAAAAGTCTATAAGCTGCTTACAGTGAAACAGGAATGTACCAAGTCCCAAGTGCCCAGTGTTCTCCCCAACTCAGTCCAGGACTAGCTGGTGAGAATCAGAGAGACTCCAAAATTAAACTCCACTGGCACTGCATGGCCTTACTATGTCTACATGTCAGCTACTCTTTAAAAAATAAACAAAAAAATATCCCTGGACAGATTTATTCCACTGAAATTGGCTCCAATTAACTAGTGTATTTAACTGGAAGAGCTGTTCTGAGAATACTCCTTCACAAAGGAACTGTCCATATCAGTTATTTTGTGCCACAAAAGATTTTCTACACCACCAGCAGGTCTAAAACTTCAAGTCGGTTGGTTCTTGCGAACTTGAAACGCAACGTATCCCTTAGATACATCATTAATAAATGACAGCTGTGGCCCAGACCAAAAAGTGTTGGTTTAATTCCAAATGAACTGAAATACAGTAATAACTGGAATATGGGAAGAAAGAGGAAAAGTTTCCTCCGACTTCCACCAGCACATGTTCTGAACAGGCTGCTTTTCTTGGGCACCTTCTCTCCATTCCTTCCTGCATCCCTTCTGCACATCTCAAGGGGCCTCCACCCGCTCTGGGAAAAGCTGCCAAATTCTGCATCAGCCTGCAAACAGCCTTGGGCCCTAAGACTGGCTGTCTGCTTGGCCCACAAGGACCCTCCTTCATCTCGGGCATCTAGGCCCTGAGAGTGTGAATGACAGGAAGTCCTTCTGCTGGACAATTCCCAGGACAGGGTCTCTGAGGTTGGCACCCAGCACACACTAAAGCCCCCATCTGAGAACCACGCTATGAGGGGCCGTCTTCTCAAGGTGGTGACCTTTCCCATCTCGCACTTTGCAGATGACGAGGCCACAAGAGAGCAGAGGGGAGCAGGTGCCAGAGGACAGCCTTGGGTCCAGGGCCAGTGGTTCCTGTTACCAAGAGCACAGCTCCCC